TATTAGTTGTGGTCCGTGTTGATGTCTTAGGCCAATGAAAACGTCCAAATATGACGTAGAAACTCAATCTGATTGGTTCACATCAACATTTATCAATAAACATAAAAATATTAAATATGATTAATAATTTTAATAAATTAAACCATGTAAAAATATAAAGTTATCATTGTATATTAGAAAACTAAGATAAAAAAGTTTAACTAACAAAAGAGATCAAATAAAATTAGGTCAAAAATCCAAATCTATAATGGTTGTCAAAATAAAATAGAAACTTATTGTCACAAAAGCTAAACTAACAACAACAAATATGCAAATCAATAACAAAAAATTGATTAGAAAAAGAAAAATAATTAACATATAATTTTTAAATGAGTAATTTATTTAGAAAAAATATTAAGTTTAATTTTTTTATATAAACATATAAAATTGTTATTGAAAGCTATCAATACTACCCAAAAAAATTCATGTTAAATTAATAAAAGAAAAAGTCATCTAAAACTTGATATTTAGCTAATTATTTAGATAATTAACTCAAAAAGCTAAACTAACCATAAAAGTTTAGCTAACAAAAAACCAACCATAAATTATTTTTTGTAACTGTCAATACAATTAAAATAAAAATTCATATTGAAAAAGTTAAATATACAAAAAAAGATATTAATTTGATATCTATGCTATTTTTTATTTTAAAAAATCAATATAAACAAAATAAGTAAGAAAATAAAAACTTAAGCAATACTAAAAACCTTTACTAACAAAAGAAGATAAATATTTAAGCAAATAATTTAATAAATCAATATTAAGAAATGAATAAAAAACGAAAATTAAGTTTTATAAAATGTTAAATTTATAAAAATCATCTAAAAAGAAATTGACTTGATATCTGGCTAACCACTTAAAAAATCAATAAAAAAATATATAACTAACAAAAAAATAAAAAAATGAAGTTATGTCTTCAAAAATATCAATATTTTCAAATTTGTTTTCGAAAATCAACATTAAAGAATCAACTAAAAAAAGCAAATGATGGTATAGCATTTTGAAAGAAGTCCACATAAAAATTAGAATATCTAGTTATAGTATGTGAAAATAGCATTATAACTAAAATAAAAATTAACATAAAAATAAATTTAACAAAGAAAAAATATTTATGTAAAAGAGATTAAATTGATATATGCTACCTATTTGAAAAATTAATAACAAAAATAATTAATTAAAAAATATATATGTTTCAAATATAACAAACATGCAGAAAAATTAAATTAAAATAAAATATAAAATTACTATCGAAAGATATGTAAAATAACAAAAAATAAAATCTAAGAAAAAAATTAGTTTGAAATTTTAGTTCTAAAAAATTCATGATTTCTAAAATATTAATATTGACTATGAATAACCATATAAAGTTACAGTAGGTTATACAAGTTTCTAAATCAAACATATTATTTAAATTTATAATGACTAATATCTTAGCTGCGTCTGGTTTAGAAACTAACAAAAACTACTACACAAGTAATTTACATTCAAAATATAACAACTAATTTATACATAGTTACTACTTATAACTTAGCCAACATGAACAACACATGAGTAACATCTTTTATAATTTCATTTAAATAGTAAAGTATCACAAAGTTATGAATCAGATTCAAATTGGAATATATCTAGATAAACTATTCAAATCAAAACATGAATAAACCACACAAAAAATAAAAACAGTGATAATGTGAAGACTCCACACTATCTTACATGTTTAATAACAAAAACTATCAAATAGTTGACTGCAAATAAAATAGATCTTATAAACTGAGTGGAGATATAACTTAAAATTCATAGAAGATCTGGTAGAGAAGCAAGAAGCAGCTTTACATGATTATTGTAGCATCCTAACAAAAGTAAATCCGAAGCAACATGAATCATATATTATATATACATAGGTACACAACATCATTGAGACATTTAATCAAAAACTAAATATTTGAACATATAAATCTTTGAAAAGAAGAACTGTAGAAATCCTAAGGACACAACACAAAACACCAAAAAAGTTAGTAAAAAAATTATTCTATAAATTAAATATATGTACGTCGAAGTTGGATAATTCGTTAGATGTTATTACTATGATTTTACTTAATAAGATTTATAATTTTATAATCAAAAATAGGTAAAACTAGATATTATGTTTTAATTTTTTATATAAAAATAAAAGTTCTTTAGATATATTATAGTTTTGATAATTTAAAAGATATTAGTCAAAAAAAACTAAACTAAATTATTAATACAGACTTGCGCGTAGCAGGGGTTAAAAGCCTAGTATGAATATGATAGATAGTAGTGTTTGTGCTTGGTCTTTAACATACCCGAGCTTTTTAAATAATTCATTAATTAAAAACAAATTTTATTGTGTTTAATATATGTTAATAATATAAGTAATTTAATTTATGGCATACTTACTAATTTAATTTAGATATAAGTAATACTATTAATTACTAATCTATTAATTAAAATTTTTTTGTTAATTTAGATATACATATTTAAAGATTTCGATTATCAACAGTAATGACATTTTTTCTAATAAGTCATTGATGTTTATTTTTTATTTAGAGTGAAAACAATATATACGATGGGCAAACTTATATTTTAACTTAAAATAATATTTTTATATAGGCTAATTATAATAAACTTTATATGTCACAATATTTTCTATATAATCAATAATATCAAAAACACATCAAAACTCGAATCATATTTATTATATCTTAAATTTAATATTTTATTTGATTATGTATATACAATGCTTTCAATCTATAATTTATCGTCTATTTAATTATCCACATGCAAAATTAAGTCATATTTGATGCATATAGAAACGTTGGCTAGATGAGTATTGGTGGTTTACTGACATTAATATTATGAGGTGTGTTTTAAAATTACATGAATTGAATGAAATCTATATGATTTCTAAGTTTCACATAACAAATATGATTTATAATTTTGTCATATATTTTTTCTTCTATCGTATAATATGTGTTATTGTTTATTATATAGATTTACACAGATTTCTAATTTCTAAATATTCTTGAGTTCTATTTGATTCTCAAATTCTCGAAGTATAATTATTCAGATAAATTTACGAATCATTGTCTTATAATTATTTACATATACCAAAATCCTTACTAATATATAATATTTTTTATAAATAGAAAAACTTCCGATAAATCTATGCTTTTATATCTAGATTTATTAGTAAAAGCTATATATTTTAGAAAATATTTTTTGATTAAATATTTTTAGAATCAATAACTATTCTTTTATTTTACAAAGAGAGTTGTTTACATTAATTTATGGTTATACTAGGGGTTGATCCGCGCTACGCGCGGATTTATACATTATTTTTTTATATATTGATAAGATATTAATTGTTATGGTTTAATTTTATAATATGTATAGTTCTTCTAATATTGTAGTCGTACATCTTTCGTGGTTTCAATTTTTTTTCTGTTTTTTATTTTGTTCTTCATTATGATTGTTATGTTAATTCTTCATAAAGATGTATATGGCTGTTTTTAAATTCATCTTTTAGTAATTATTTTTAATTAAATAGTATTGTTTTTTAAGTTTTTTTAGTATTTTTGTTTAGCGGACAATATTCAGTTTTATAATGGTTTTTAATATTTTTTAAACTCTAATTTATTAACTTTAGTATTCTTCCATTTTATATTTTTTAATTGGGTTAAATTTGAATTTTCTAAGTTTTAATACATGTGTTTTCTATATGTGAAAACAGTGAAGGTCTATAAAGCCCATATTTGGTAACCCAGAAGCCCAATTAGTGAACCATGTTTATTGGTGGCGGCTGACTGGCTGTCCTGTACAATGAGTTTTTCTCTGATGGCCGTTCCCAGATCGTGAAACATCGATCTATTTTCTGAGAAATTATTCTTCGATTTTCTCTACTCGAATTTTTTCTCTCTGTCCTACTCTCCCCTCTGTTAATTATATATTTATTATGTTTTTATCAAGTGGTGGACCTTTCTCACTTGCTACAGTAGATTATTTTTCTCTGGATTCAATTCAACTCATAGTTCCTTTTTACAAAATTAAAAGAAAGAAATCTTGGAAAGAGTTGGCACTATGAGGAACATACCAAAGCAATGTCGGCCCAAATTATAGGCCCAAAATTACACTGATCATATTTGAAATGAAAAGTCGGCCCGAATTATAGGCCCAAAATTAAGATAAACCCATATTTCCTAAACCCACGCGCGTGCACTGAATCGCTGATGCCTTCTCAAGTATCCATCTCAAAATTCAAAATCGCTCGACTCTTGAGTTCCTGAAGCTGCACATCGACGATCTCTTCCCAACTATCTCTCAAACTTATCTAGGGTTTCTGATATACAGGCGAAGAAGACAGAAATTGCTACAATGGTGAGAGTTTCTGTGTTTCAGATATCCTAATTTCGAATCCCTAGTTTACTTTTTTTTATAATAATTCAGTCGCTCATGCTACTAACTATAGATTCGGAGGAGAGTTGTGAACACCTCAACTGTTTCCGTCGGGTCAAAAGTTAATCCGTGACTCTTTTGATTGCTTTAATCATTTACGCTCTCTGCTCGGAAGGTGATATATCTTTCTGTCGGGTGTTTATGTTTCTTTACTCTAATTTAATGATGCAGAAGTTGATGATTGTTAAACAGTTATGTCTACAGAATTGCATTGGTTATGTATTAATTGTGTTAGGTGGATTGGTGTATCCTTTTATGAAATGTATCATATATCTCTAGTGTTTCAATTCTTCGATTTTAAGTGTGTGTTATCTTGAATTGTATGCTATTTGTTACTTTGTAGAGTGATCACTTGTTCGCAGATGTCTCTGTGTGAAGTTGATATTTGGTGATGCGTATTTTGAAGAGTGGTCCAAAAGACTGTAATTGTAAATAGTTTGAAAAAAAACTTAAACTTGGGTGATTGTGTGATTGCATAAATTGGTAGATGGCTAAATGACGAACACAAACTTAACGATCTGTTTGTAATAGTAGCAATGATGGCATCTGTTTTCGAGGTCGTTGAGGTTGCACATAATTGTTGGCTTCATCACCCTTATTGTTTCTCGGTAAGCAGGTAGACGCAAGACTCTGACTCCATGCAATGATTTCTTGATGTTTCTCCAGCATCTGTCACCTCTGGTTTTGCTGTGTTGCCACCCTAATTGGTCCAAGTAGGCTTTTCCTTCCTCCATTTCGCCCCTAGATAACAATATAATCCCATATAGGTGCATACCTTCGCTGTAGGATCCTCGTGCTGCTAATTTTAGATGTTGTAGTCCGGTGATTGTGTTGTTTTTGTGGAAGTACTCTAGTATTCCTTTGATGTAGTGAGCTTCGATGTTTCCGTTGGTAAGTGTCTTCTCCATTAGGTCTTTGTATCTGTACCTTGTTGCCAAAGGATGGAACACCAGAGGTCGTAGGTTAAGAGCTTTGTAAACTCCTTTGTCATTTGCTGCCTTTGCCAATGCTTTTGACGCTTCCATAACATGGCGAAGTTGTCTCCGAGATGAGCTTCCAACTCGGGCTAATATTTCTCCGACTATGTCCTCAGGGAGATCGCTGAGTGTTATTGTAGTGTTTTTATCTGCCATTTTTGTTTCTTTTGTTGTTTATATTTTGATTGTATTGAGGATGTATATTTTATAGGCCGTGTTTTTGACTGTTACGTCTTGTGATATTAATTTTTTTTTTTTAACTATCATTATGGTGCATTTAATTTTGGTAGGACGGTTTCAAGAGTGTCAATTACATTGGCAATTAGTGTGTGTTATGGTCTATAGTGGCGTATGTGTAGTGTTATACTTCTTTGTTAACTGTTGGTTTTGTGTTTCTATAACGGTTGTACCCTTTTGATTGTGACGATTGGTTTTCTTAATTGCTTGTGAATATTGTGGTGATGATATTTATTATGTTTTCCGTATAATATGTGAATTTTTACCCAAGCGAGTTCTTTTATCCTTTCTTTCCCCATCACTTTGTCGATGCTAACAGTTGGGCCTTTAATTTGGTTCTCTTAACCTGTTTTTTAGTTAATGTGTAGAATGTGAGTAGGTTGCTCTATATGTGTATATTTTCAGTATTACTGGACGTTTACTATGTATTAGTTTGTGTCATTTAGAAATTCTCTGTGTACCATGTATGTGCCACTGTTGTAAAGGGTTAAATTTGGCATGCATTTGTTTTGTAATTTGTAAGAGTTAGTATTATAAAAAGCAATTGTAGTGAGTTAGATGTTTGTGGAACCTACGTACGATTAATTATGATTTTTTTCGTACTTAGCTATTTTTAAATGTTCATTTTCCTTTTAGTGTTAGTGTTTTTGTTAAGAGAAGAGTAGCCTAAAATACATTTTACGTACATCTCTTCTGTGTTATTTGGTGTCTGGCATTTTTCAACCGGTAGGTGTTTCTATAACTATATGGTTGGATTTGAAAGCTTCAGCCGTTAAAATACTCTTTATTAGTTTGTTGTTATTAAAGTAATATCTGATCTAATGTGGTCTTTGCTGAGAAGCTAAAATAAACTCTTGTCATATGAATATGTGTAAAAGTAAATCGGAAACCATTGTATTTAAAGCATAAGATCTGTAGTTGAAAAAGCACGTGCAACAAAGTGAAAACTTAATAATGTAAAGTCATTTGCCGTAACTAATATTACGTTCCAATGTGGTTGATGGACTCCCTCGTCTTATAGTTGCAGTAGATGCGTTTAGTTCAAATTTAAGAACTTCCTCATCTGTTTGCCTCATCTGTTTGTAGTAGAAGCACTTGTTGCATCGGTTGTCCATGTCGTTGAGTTGACACCTTCTTGTGGGTTTGTTGTTCCGTAAAGTAACACGATACATTCGTTTTTTAATGACAACTATTTCTCGTAAGGATCTTCGGTTATTTTCCCAGCACCGATCAGCTCTCCTCATTCCTTGTTTCCAACCGAGCATATCCAAGTACCTTTTGGTCTACATTACCCCTGCATAACATGATAATTCCGTATAGATAAATACCATCGTTGTATGAACCGTTGGCTGAAACTTCTAGATGATGTAATCCAGTGATTGTGTTGTTGTAGAAGAAATATTCTTGTATGCCCTTGATGTAGTGTGCTTCCGCATTTCCGCTTTGAAGACATATCTCCATCAGCGGTATGTAGTTGTCTAATGCTGCTAATGGATTCATTGCCAGCTGTCTGAGGTTTAGGTTCTTGTACACTGTGGTCTTTAGTGGCGTTGGATATTTTTTGCGATACTATCATGCATTGTCGGACTTCCCGACGGGACGATTGAGCGACTCTTGATATTATATCTCCAAGTAGATCTTGTGGAAGTGACTCTAGAAATGAAATTTGTGTTTGAGAAACCATTTTTGTGTGAAGTTTGTTTCTAGTGTGAGTTTTACATTTTCTTTAAACCCTTTTTATAGGTAAGGATTTGTCTGGGGTTTCATTTTTCGTAGACCTTTGATTATTTTCTTAAATTGTCTTTATAGTGTTTGTGGCCATTTATTTATTTCTGCTTAGTGGGTAGTAATTGTGATTGTAATTTTTTTTCCTAGTAATTGTTTAATGTTTTAATTAAGTGTAAGTTAATGTAAACGTTACATTATTTTGGCATAATTTTTTGGGCGGTAATTACAATTCACTTATTTTAAAATAATGGGTTTCTAGTTCAGGGCGTTTTTTAATGATTGTGATTGTGTAGTTTGATTTAAAACTACACAAAGTTGTTTCGCATAATAATTAAGTATTACAAATTAAAAATTTCATAAATTATGTAGACCAAAAGAAGTTGTATTTCGTAGGTAAGACTGATATGTATTCCCCGCTGTGTCTTCCTGATATTTTATAGACGATAATATTAGTTTAAGAGGGAATTTAGTGGAGGTATTTTTAGACACTCACAGTTCAAAAATATTATATGTATGATACCTGAACAGTTTGACTTATGAAGTCCGTTTGGCAATGATGATGTGGTTGCTCCATATGTAGTCCTTGTTCTTTTATGTGTCCATTAAATCACTGTTGTTTGTTGCGTGTGTGTCCTTCTCATGTTCTCCTGATTCACATTTGTACAACAAACAAAGTTATTCACGTAGCCAGTATAAAAGTAGACGATAATTAAATTTGACTATTCCTACTAAACTTATTAGAAATTGTTATGTATTTTGGTAGAGTTTTCTGAAGAAAATAGTGTTGTGATTTCATTACCTGTGCATGTGTTGATGTTGTTGAATATTTCCTTGTAGACGATATTTATGACACCTTCTACACCATCCCTGTCTGTTGTTGCATCTAGAACTTTCAGTCCCTCCGGAGTAGTGACGCGTGATATAGAAACATACAATTGCCCATGACTGAAAACTGGCTGTGGCAGATACAAAGAAACTTGTTTTAAGCTTTGTCCTTGACTCTTGTTTATCGTCATTGCATAGCACACTCTAATTGGGAATTGTCTTCGACGCAGGGTGAATGGATGCCGGTTGTCGTTTGGACTTAAAATAATCTTTGGGATGAGCACTTTGTCACCAACATGTGTGTCTGTAAGTATCTCTGCCTCTATAACTTTGTTGCCAAGTTTAGTGATGATTAACCTTGTCCCATTACACAATCCTTGTTTCTGGTTAAGATTGCGTAGCAACATTACGGGTACTCCCACTTTTAACCGTAGATGATGATTTGGTAGACCCGGGAACTCTAGAGAGTTTAAATATTCAACATTGTAAACTGAATTCCAATCACCAAATGGAGTGTGTTCTTTTTTGAGTGTGTCTGAGCTCAAATAATCTTTCTCCTCTCCTGGAAGCATCGATAACATGTAGGCATTGATTTGTAGAGCTGTTTCGTTTCTTGGTGTTAGAATGGCTCTTTCAGTGAGGTAGTTGTGATCTGTGAATGAATTTGAGAAATCAGGATACGCTGGTTTTGTGATGTCACTTAAATGGTCACCTGTATTCGGTAGCATCAATTCTGCGGCAACTGCAATCCTATCTCCACCTACATTTGCTTCCTCACTTATTGTTGATTTTCTTGCGTAGCCACTCCCAACTTATAAGATCCAGTCTGCAAAATCTGCATGGTTGGTTTGTAGCCTCATGTTTTTGGTCAACATGAAGACTTTACACTTCTCCCACAAATATGACCGGTTAATTGCCGCTAAAACAGTGTCTTGGCGACTCCCTTGTGGTACTACTGGCAGTATTTGTCTGAAATCTCCACCCAACAAAACAGTTTTTCCTCCAAAAGGCTTATGTAACGCAGTTTCATCTTCTAATGACATGAGATCTCTGAGTGTTTGATCCACTGCCTCAAAAGTATGTCGATGTGCCATTGGAGCTTCGTCCCAGATTATCAAATCGGCTTTCGCAATTAAACCTGCTAGCATCGTACCTGGAGTTATAGGACATGTTGACCCCTCGTTGATATCTAATGGTATCTTGAAACATGAGTGAGCGGTTCTTCCTCGGGGCAACAGCAGCGCTGCTATCCCGGCTGACGCAACTGGAATGACAGCTCTCTCCATTGAGCGTATTTTGGCTATTATTGTTCTGTATAAAAATGTTTTACCTGTACCGCCAGGACCATTGACAAAAAACAGTGAGCCTTGATTGTTTTCAATAGAATCCATTACAGCTTTGTATACTTCCAGCTGATCTTCATTCAGAGTTTTAAATAATCGCTTGTATTCTTCCATTTGGTCGTCAACATTAAACCGTAACTCTTCTCTAAGCACTGTATTGGAGATGTCTTTCAAAATAGCTTTGTCAGGCAATGGCATCTTAGGATAATCTGTTAGGGACTTCTCATTCTGCATTAGTAGTTGCTCAAGTTCAATGAGTGTATACTGCTTCAACTCTTGATCTTCCAGTTCTAATCCCTTGAACCCTAATTCCTAAGAAATATATCCTCTGCCAGAGATTTCCAGCAATGCTCCCACAAAGCTTCAGGCTGTGCAACTTCACAAAATAGCAGAAGCATGACAAACAGATGGCGTAACTGTCTTGCTGTTGCCCAGAAGGATGCCTCATCCATTGCATCGTGCCACTCTTTGTCATCATCGAGTAATCCTTTAGTGTAACATGCTTCTTTGCATGTTTTGTATATTATATCACCCACAGTTACTATCTCGTCAAAGCATTGTGGACCTCTAACAATATTGACTAACATTTACAGGTAGTACAAATCCCCAGCCGATGGGTGTATGTTTACTACTCTGCCAATTGTGTTGCCTTGCTTTCTTGGGGTCCACTCTTTTTCATTGTTCTTCCACGCAAAATGCTCCGGGAATTGAATATATGTAAGTTCTCTCGCCTCTGGGTACTTTATGTTAGCTTTCATCCACTCTGTGAACATGGTTTTCTGCACATTTTCTCTTGCTAAAACGATTCCCAAGTTTGCATTTGCAGGGAAAACGACCCGGTGTTGATTTGGCAGATGTATTGGGAGTTTCATCACTGTTGGGTTATGGTAGTGTATGTGAAATGCAAATATCCTCCAAGCTGCTTCACATGCTGAAACATAGCGACACTCAAGGTAATTACTGATCTCATCGACTGCCTGTGGTTCGTTGCTTGTACTTGCACCATCTTTCCCTGCTTTTAGTGTTTTCTCGATCACGAAAGTTGCTCTGTCGACACCTTTGGTGATATATTTGAAGAGATATTTTATGGCGTTTGTCTTGCAACACCACTCCACATTAATATGTGCTTTATATTTTTTCAGCAGCTGCATGTTGCGTGGAACGACATGACGGTTATCTAATTTTGTGTCACCTTTGACTACAAACTTAGACTCTTCATTCCGGCGTTTGTAGAGAATAAAACCAGCTTTATCAATAGTAGTGTGTTCTGTGAAGTTCCTAGGATATTTTTTGCTGCATTCTCCATTCTGCATGCAGGGCGAGTAAGGTTTATCTATACCACAAGGACCATGCATCATATGTTGTTGTACTAAGTCGAATCCTTTTTGATCTGTTTCTTTATCTGGCAGTTCTGCTGATATGAAGTTGTCAATCAATGTTGAATCTGGGTTTTTTGAAATTCCAGTAAGCCATAGTAGGATGTGTGCATGTGGTAGTCCCCGCTTTTGAAACTCTATGGTGTAGACAACTGAACAATTTTTTGTGTGTATTAATAATATTAAAATATTTTGGTATGATTATAAGCAAGAAAGGGTGTAAACGTTGAGCTTGGTTACCTGCTGCAAGAACGGGGAAGAAGACACCTTTGTTGAAGTCTGAAAGAATTTGATCAAGTTTTATTTTGAAAGCTCTGCATTGGAGGTCAGGCCTAGAGTTTGATGGCTCTTTTGTATACGTTTGTAGGTGCTGCGTGATCTCTGTCCAATTTGGATTTGCTGTAACTGTGATAAAAAGGTCAGAATTTCCAAACCATCTACATATAGCCATGGCATCGTGATACTTTTCAGCCATATAACGTGGTCCGACTGTGAATATAGCGGGCAGAATTATTTTGTTTCCAAGAGACCTTGCATCTGCATCTCCCCTCTCCACTGCATCGTATATGTTGTTGTATAAATCAGCCCTCAGTTTTTTTTGATTGAGAGTAAGAAAACGCAATCTTTCTTGTTCCGTAGCTGTGTATGCATCTACAATGTACTGATGAAGTAATCTCCCTCCTTTAATTAATGTCATCCCTTCAGATAGCCTTGTCTGAATCTGATATGCATAATATTCCCTCATAGTCATATATGACCTCTTCACTTGATTTCCTTCAACCAGTTGATATGGCGTTTGTTCGTGATAACCCTGCTCGCCGTAAGGGAACAATACTGGATATTGCAAGCTCATAAATAACGGATGAAGATCAGTAATTCGTTGTAGGTGTGAGGACTTAAATTCCAAAACAACATCTCGTCCTTGAGTTGCCGTGTTAAAATCTCCCACTATCAGGCCACCAATTTCATCTGTTGTTGGTAAATCGTACTGCTTCCCTAGCTGTCTTTGGCTTATTAATCTGATATTGAATTCTTCTCCATTTCCTTTTTCGTATCGATCTCTTGCCCTCCTAAATAGTTTTGCAAGCTCGTTAGTTTTATCCAACATGGTTATCAGGATGTTGACAACTTCTTTATCTACAGATGTGCCTTTTCTGCTGCCGCTCATTGTTCTGATACGATTCTCGGCTTCGTTCTTTGTATCGAAAATGAACATTTGTAGAAAGTGTGGTTGTTGTCCATCTTGTGGTAGGAGAGACCCAATATTGTGATGATTTTGACCATGTATTCTGTAAACATATGGTCCTTGAGTTCCAGTCACCGTATGGTCTACTTTCCCCCCTGTGGATGTCATAGCCATAAGTGAGTTATACATTCGAATGTTTGTCCGAAACACTGACGAATCATATAGTTTCTGTAGTTCTTCAGGTGGAGGTTGAACTTTGGGTAGTCTGACCCTTCCTTGCTGACAGCATAGCATTTGTTTTCTTGTTTCTGCTTTCCAGACCAAAGCATCACAAAATTGACATGCCAGAATGTCGCCATTGTTTGATTTCCAACGGATATGACTATGTCCTGTTTTCGGTGGCCCTGCTATTGCTGCAAAGATATGTTATGAGTCTGTTAGTTACAATTATGGTTGGTATTATTGTTATATATATATCAGGAGATTTATTTCGATTAAAGTTATACGGTTTCAAATATTTGATAATGTAATTTGTGTTTGCAATGGTAGCTGTACCTTGAGTGTTTTTTTTGCAGAGTTGATGGCCCGTCGTAGAAGCCTGGCGTTCTTAGATGACTCTGCAAAAATATTTACTTGACCTTATACCTTAAGTTAGATTATAATCTTGTATGACGAAAGAAAATGTAATTAGTGGGAATCATTACGTTTACACTCATGGGATGAAGATGAGGATGAGGTTGGAAGATAGTAAGTTAAAAATTCATCACATAGCCATGGTCGGCTTTGCTTCTCACCTAAATTTTTTTTCAAAAGCAGTTAAATTATCGTAAGTGATTTTTTTTTTAATTCAAATATCAATGTGCAGTTGTTTGGACAGATTACGAACTTACCAATTTTAAACTCTGCTGTCCGTTTAGCGGCTAATTTTCGTGCTTCTGGTTTCTGCTGTTTCCCTTTTAAACTTGCCTCATCTCCTTTTGATTTTGATTTTCGTTTGGCTTGGTATTTTGGAGGCATAGTAAATTATAAGAGTTGTTGATTGGTGTTAGCAAAATATCATGGTAAATTATGAGAGTTGTTGATTGGTGTTAGCAAAATGTCATATATGAGTTCGCAGAGTACAGAGCGTTTTCTTTTTATTGGAGTAGTCTCTGTAGTCATTAAATAAAAATTTAAGTCTCATAATTATTTTTAATTTACATAAATGTTAGTAATTTTTTTTAAACGGTGTTGTTGTAATCGGATATATTACTGAATTAATGAGTGCCTAAATTTTGCAACGGCACTACTCTCTATTCTATTTTATTGTGAACTGGACTTTATAGTATAGACGATTAGAGTATTTTATAAAATCTGTATGATTGTTAGTTTATATTTACTTTAATGAAACAATATAAAGTAATATATTCTTCTAAATTATTCGAATGCTATTTTTAATTATCATAAGTTGAACAATTCATTTTATGAATATTCGGTTATGTCAATGTAAACTGTAAAGTAGTGAGAATTGAATTGTATAGAAGATTAGGATTTTTAAGATGATTTATGAAAATAAAAAGTAGAAGCTGAAATAAAAAGATATATAAGCCGCATACATATATAAATGTCTGGAAGTTGGATTTGAAAATAGGAAAGGTAAGTGATAAATAAAATCACTATTAAGCATAAAAATATAAATGCAAACTGAGGGATTCTTATAGTTTCTTTCATATGGCACTTGGTAGACGATGCTACTTGAGTTTGGGTTTCTTAGAGATCACATTTTCATTCCCAGTTGCAGAGGTGACCTCAGCTGCTCCAATCACACTGCTGGAAAGGCTACCTTCAATTTGTCTTTCACTTTGTGATGTTCCAGCACTTGTATCGGTCTCGTTGAAGCTTCCCGTATTTGCATTGGGGGGGATTTCAGTGCTGTGTTCACCATGTGCCTGTGTATGTAGTGTAAGGGTGGGAAGTTAGTTTCTTTGCAATTTATTTCATAGTGTTACAGATGTGACGTTATAATGAAATTTACCACTGTCGCAAATGTTGGTTTTGGAGCGGCATGGGGTTTGTCAAATATCCGAGCTACCGTGAATGATTTGTGGTGGCTACTGAAATTGAATGAGCTCAGCTTGATGTGGAATGTGTAGGTCTTTCCTACAATTTTGGAGATTGGATCGGGGATGACAGTTTCGTTGTCCAAATCTGGATTGGTATCAGCCTGTATTATAGTATGGTAAATTTGTGAAAGTAGGAGAGTAGAATAAAATATTGGATGTGTGTTGTGTGTGTGTCTGTGTTAGAGTTATTTACCAGTTGTGCTGTGAGGTTTGTTGCCGTAACGTTTGTCAACTTGACCACGTCTTTGTCGAAAGCCACAAACATAGCCTCTGTAGCTCCGTCGTTGACAACCATTTCAACACGGTACCTTGCAAATTTAGACAATGTGAAAGAGTAGTGTTGGGGTTAGAAATCTATATATAATGGAGTGTGTGGGTATTCGGCATGTGGGATTTCACCTAACGTTTCCTACAGCACCAGGAGATTGGCAGTTGATGCATGACAAAGATGAATGCTGTTTAACCATTTTCTTTGCACAGTTTGAGCAGGAGATGTAATTCCAGCCATTAAGAGATTGGATATCCACAACTTTGGCAGTGCATAGAAATTCAGCGTTATCCTAATAGTCATCCGAATTGACTAATTAGACATTGAAGATGAAGCTGCTGAGACAACTACGTTTAGGAATATATGGTGTGAATATACCTCGGTGGCAGTAACAAACTGGTTGAGCTCTGCAATGGATACTTGCTCAATCTTTTGGACACCCTGGTATTTAACTTCAGAGTTCTTGTTGTCTTTGTCATTGAGTGCCAAGCTATTTCAACAGTATGGTAATTGATATTACAGTAATGTAGAGTTACAGTAACACAGAATGTAAGGTAGTGAATATGTAGAAGTACCTCTCAGCAAAGACACGGGTGGCGTCAATCTCATGGTCAAAATAAAATTGAGTCCTGGATGTGGCATTCAGGTACAGTTCACCTGCATATGAGTGTTTGGAAAGTAGTGTTATTACAATGAATGACCTGAAGATTTGAGCTGCCTACATTTGTTTTTTGGTGTTATAGATTCAAGTGAGATTGGTGCGTTTGAGAGGGATTACCGCCAAAGAACTTTGGGTTGATGTTGGTGGCAAGCATGATGCACGTCCCAGCCTCTTGCTTTTCCATTCTTCTATTGAGTGTGGCAGCGTGATCGTCAAATGCACTAAGACGGACCTTCTGACCGCTGGAGAGGGAAAAAGTGTGTTTTGTTTTGGTAAGTTATGTATTTGTATGAAGTATTGCATGAGAAGGTGGTGGAGATATAGATTTTCCAAAAGCACTGAAACTAACCTTTGAAGGTACAGTTGAACCAACATGCGCTCGATTTTGAGGGAAGACTCGTTCCGGTAGGCTTTACTTGAACAAACTTGTCCGAGGACGTCTGTAGGTATTCCAGTTATTAGTAGAGTTCTTCAGTGAATAGGGGTACAACTAATTGTGTGATAAGCAAATGAATACCTGGGAGGTCCTTGTTGGTGTTGGCTAAAGCAAGAAGTTCTTCATGGGAACGAAACCGGAATAACTGTTTCAGAATCTGGTAGAAGGAATCGTCAACGGGAACCATAGTAGTGGTGTGAGTGAAACGTATGGATTTGTCAAAATCAGTGAGTTGAAATCTCGGAGTGCTCTTTGTGACATCGAAGCCACTAATAACATAGATGATCCCTTCATTTAGTAGTGCTTCGTACTTGGGAAGGTGTTGTGCGGGTATAGTACCTTGCATCAATGTAGACTAAATGGGAGAGATAAATTAGTAAGTAAAAAACGGAGAGAAGATGTATTGTGGTGGAAAAATGTTGTTTGCCAGATTAACGATTTACCTTCTCGTCAAGAAGAAGGAAGTCGACTTCCATGAGCTCTCGGTTTTTTTTAACATTTCGAGCCTCCCAGAAACGTAGGAGCCTACCGAGAACACGTTGGACCTCACGGCCTGATTTGAGATCAGAGAATTGGAGATAGACACCTGCCATGAGATTGTTGTTCAGAGGATATGTGATTTAGAGTGTGAAGAAAATGATGAGGATATAGTATGATATTTATATGTGGGGAGATCGGCTAGAGAATTAAATGGAGGAATTGAGTAGTGGGCAGTGGAATTGAAGAGGGTAAAGTAATACCTTTGTAAATTAGGGGACATCGTGATGCTCCGTTATGAATTTAGAGTAGGCGTTACGGATTTTTGTGGTATCTTTGGAGAAGATGAGAAGCCACGGCCGCATATGAAGTCATTAGCGTGGAGGAGTGGGAGTTGCAGGTTTTTTTGGAGATGACAAGAGCCTTTTTTTTTTTTTGATGTTGGGCTAGGGTTTTGTATTGGGCTAGAGCAATAGTTGCCAAATAACAGATCGGACCTTTATTCATTAGTGTCTTGAAAGGTATGTAAAGTATTAACAACACTTTAGTGACAATTCTGGCCCGTATACTTTATGCCCATTATGAAATGGGCTTTTCGAATCTGAAACCCGAATTGAAAAACTTGTTCGACTATAAAGCCAAAGTTAAATTTGGTAAAAAATGAAATCGAACTGAAAATAAGCGAAAAATAAAAGTATAAAATGCAGAAGTTTAATAGTATATTTTTTTGTTGATTGTTATTAAACTAACAAATCCAATTTGAACCTAAACAGAATTTCAACGGCTATTGAATATATGTAATAAGTAGTAATAGTATATTTTTTGTTGATTGTTATTAAACAAACAAATCTAATTTGAACTTAAACAGAATTTCAACGGCTATTGAATATATATAATAAGTAGTAATATTTATACACTTTATATAAAGGCATAAAGTTAAAAGTTTTTTAAGATTATTTATAGTATTATATTATATATTATTATTAATATCAATCGAATAATAATATTACAATGCATATTATACAGCTAAGCGTTTATATACCATCGGCAGCCTATATAGATATCTATATATAAATTAAATAAGCACATATAGTAAAAAGATGTAAGGTGGATTTGAGAAAAACCATGGATTTGGGCTACATATATGTCACAATCTATATCTATAAATTTAAATGGTGAGAAACCATAGATTTGGACTACATATATGTCACAATCTATATCTATAAATTTAAATGGTGAGGTGGCATCTGATTAGGATGATGAGGTGGCTGCACCAGAAGAGAGAAAATATTACTTTATAGATATAGATTCGAATTAAAAACATAAAAATTATGTCTTTCTTTAATTCATTTGATATAGTAGATAAGTAATAAACTATTTAACTAATAATATTTAATTAATATTTAAGAATCATAGTAATTAAATATATACACAAATATTGTATACCCAAATCTTAGACATTGGTGGAAATGCTGAATCATATCATCAATCACAGGATATATAAAATCTATATGACAACTTCGTATTTCTACCCAACTATATCATATGCTATCCATGATACTTCAATTTTAAATTAATTTTAATAACAATAAAATTACCTTATATTTTATAAAAAAGAAAAACTATATTGTAAATGTTATATTATATTCATATAAATTTAATTATATATATTATATAATTTTAAAATTGTATTAAATTTTAATAAATAATTATTATTTTATCCTCACCTTGTGCAGATTATTAGCTAGTTAGTAAGTTATTATAATTAGCTCGTCTAAACTTACCATTAAGATGATATATAAGTTAATTGAGCAGAGGTAATATAATATACTAGTTTGATTATATGGAAGAATTTATTGCAAAGCTTTTGGATTGTCAAGAATCAGAGATACTAGTTGAAACAAATGGGAGGCCGCTTGTCTCTTGATTAGACGTTCTCTTAGTCTATATGTTGTGTTGCTTGGTGGCTTTCCTATCTCATAGAAGATCAAGAGACAAGATACAGTCTCGCACTCATCCAGGGAGGCTGAATATCACGGCATGTCTGTCGCACTTGGAGAAATCAAATAAGTGCGTAAGTTGTTACAAGAACTAGGTATTGATGTTTCCGCTCTATCTCGGTTGATCTGTGATAGCAAGGCAGCTATCCATATTGCTGTAAATCCAGTCTTCTAATAACGAACAAAGCATATGGAAAATAACTGTCATGCAGTTAGAGATGCAGTCTGAGATGGTCTTATTGTCACCGAACATGTTCGTACAGATGTTCAAGTTGCTGATATTCTTACTAAGGCACTTGGTCGAGCCCAGTTTCAAAGTTTGTTGTCCAAGTTGGACATTAATAATATTTATGCTCCAACGTGAGGGAGAGTATTGCAGATATATACCATATTATGTATATCTAGGAAATATGTGTATTTTCTAATAGAGATAAGGATAGTTTACTTATTGCAAAGCTAGACTGGTTGTCTTATACTTGTATAAGTATGTTAGTCTATCCACGTTAATAAAGCAAGTTAGTTCATAACCTAATTCTACACAGTAACATGACTTTACCTAGAAAACTCGGAGGAGTGGTGCTTTTTTTCTGCATCCTTTTCCTCGCCCAGTTATCATGTACCGCTTCAACTACCTCTTGCCTACCCATATACGAAAGACTAGCCACTCTTCATCTTGGCTGTATCCTGCTGAGATTGCTCATCTTCCTTGTTCTGCCTTTCCAGCCACTCTTCATCTTCAGAACCCATGTCATAAATCGCAATACTTCGAGGAACTTGTGGGGATGATTTTGATTGTGTATTGCACTAGATTAGGCATTGTCTTGAACCTCACACTCCTCCTGAATTTTCTTGTATACAGCTCACATATATTTAAGCCCGACCCAAAATATTTTCGGGCCAATATTCTAAAATCTGATCAGACTCTAACCGAATTATATGGTTTTTTAAGGGATTTTTCAAGCTATTTAAAAAAACAAAAAAGAGTTTAATAAAAATAAATCTAAATTAAATAATTATTCATATGGTTTTATTAGAATCATTAAAATTAAAAACAAAACTTTGACATTAATATGTTCACATTATTAATAATATCAAATAACAATAAATTATAAAAATACTTTAAATCTATATAGTAAATACTATATTTGAGATGTAAATCAACTTTACCCTTACAATCACAGAGAGGCATAGAATTAGAAAATTAGAGTTTTTGATTAATTAAAAAATATATAAATTATTATTTTTAAACAAAGTAATTCTAAAAGAAAATTCTTTAAATGAACTACAATATATTGCAGCGTTTTTCGGATAAATCCGTACGCGATCAAGTTTAAACTCAAGAATCGATAAGCCTAAATGGGTTTGGCCCGAAATGCCTAATCTTTTTGGGCTAATATATCAAAGTCCGAATCTGCTAAAAAAAATTTTGGACTTCGGATTTTAGATTAATTGACATCCCCATTTTTATTTACGAAAGGCCCGACAAGTTAGACCACTTAGCCCAAATTAAAACCGAACAAGGCTTGGCCCATCAAAAGCCCAGTCCATCTACTGTAACCTAAATTCAGAAGGTATATGAAGCGCACCGTAAAATCTAGGGTTTCATCCTCCCTTCCACCTTCGATTTGCTTTTTTTCATCTATCCTTTCCTCTTTCGATATTTCTTTTGATTTGTCAACAATGGCTCTGGATCTAGATTATGCAATCACTCTCTTTTGAGATGCGGAAAATGCCACTGTTGAGCCTGAAAAGATGGAAAGATTGTTACACAACATTAAAGGCTCCCTTAAAAAGGCGGACTGAACTGAAGTTTGTAGTATGTAACAAGGGTCAGAATTTTGTCAAGAAGAAAGGAGCCTATATAAAGGAGAATCATTTCATCAAGATCGATGTGCCTTACCGTTATAGGAAGTGCCAATACCCGGATTGTAAAACAAGACTTCAGTGGCATGATGAAAAGGACCCCTTCCAAAGAGCGTACGACGTGAATGATCGTCTTTTAGTGCAGCAAATCATGAAGCAGTCTCAGTCAAACTGGTTGTCACGAAATGTGCTCAGTACCTCATGGAAATTCAGATTTCGCTGGAACTGTAAAAACCTTGCACGATAATGGCTTTAACGTGTTACTCGCGGTGCACAACAGTTCAAGAGAGTCATATCAAAATATGGTACAATATGCTTGACTTTCGGATCAGATGTCGCTAGGGTATAAAATTGTATCTAGTATTTTTTTCTGTTTTTCTTTTGATTTGCCTGAATGGGTTTGGCCCGAAATGCCTATTTTTTTTGAGCTAATATATCAAAGTCCGAATCTGCTAATTTTGAGGGACGAGTAGGGCCAAACTTAGGATTTTAGCCTAATTGACATCTCAATTTTCACTTACGAAAGGCCCGACTGGTTAGACCAATTAGCCTAAATTAAAACCGAACAAGGCATGGCCCATGGAAAGCCCAGCCCATCTACGGTAACCTAAATTCAGAAGGTATATGAAGCCCGCCGTCAAATCCAAGGTCTCATCCTCCCTTCCACCTTTGATTTGTTTTTTTTTTCATCTCTCCTTTCCTCTTTCTATTTTTCTTTTGATTTGTCAACAATGGCATTGGATCTAGATTATGCAATCACTCTCTTCTGTGATGCAGAAAATGCCACTGCTGAGCCTGGAAAGATGGAAAGATTGTTGAGTCTTTTTAACCATGATATAAGTCTTTTTTATTGAGTCTTTTTAGAGTCCTAGAAGAGTCTTTGCAGGTTATAGCATGTCTGGAGCATAATTGGAGATATTGAAACCTTTTGGAGCATTGCAAGTTGAAGCCACGAAGTATCCAACTCGGGAAGAAAAGTATGCCATATGGTGACGCTCGTCACCACCTTTGGTGACGCTCATCACCCAGAAAGGAAGGGGTCGTGATTGTTTTCTAAAAGATAGAGGATTATTTGCAGTTTTGGCCCAGAAGTTCCAGTATTTGTAAAAGGCCCCAGATCGTAATTTAGCTTGTATATTAGGTTTTTCAGCCATTCTTTTGGCATATATATTGTATCTTATTATTTTAGAGAGTTTTAGAGAGAAATTTGTAGAAGAGCTTTTGGAGAGACAAATGAGACTCTTTTAGAGCAG